TTTTTACATTAAAAACTGTGGTTTATTTGTTTATAACAATTTAATAAAAAATATTTGTTTATAATTTTTTAATAAAAGTTAATTAGTATCCATATTTTTAAAATGTAATATTTAGAATATAACTAAAAAAATGGATAATATCAATTAACGTTTTTATGATATTTTTTATTATTTTATAATTTCAAGTTATAAACTTCAATTTTTATTCAAATTAATCCTACATTTTCTACTTTATTATTTGAACAATGTTTGTCAGCGTACGTTCTACTTTCAAAATAGCTCGGTTTCACTTGTTTTTGTTTTTATTTTTTATTTTTTGTAGACAACACATTTAACTCGTTCTTATACCATACAATTGATTATTTTTTTTTACTAAAATATTTAAATTTTATTTTAACATAAATAACATACTTTTAAATTATATCTTGTTCGATGGGTGTTTGTTGGTGTTCGTTCTACTTTGAAAATGCTCGTTTTCAATTGTTTATTTTTAAAACACATCTGATGGGTGTTTGTTGGTGTTCGTTCTTCTTTGAAAATGCTCGTTTTCAATTGTTTATTTTTAGAACACATCTAACTTGTTATTATACCATACAGTTAAATTTATATATATATACTAAAATCATTTCATTTTTGTTTTAATTAAAATACCATACATATTATCTAACACTACATACTCAAATATTAGTTTTCCACATTATGTAATTTATGTCTAGTCATTTTTTTAAAGTAAAATTTCACATTGGTACAAAATTAACAATCTATAATTACATATAATTATATTATTTTTTATATGTATTTATATGAATATATGTAACATTTTGATTGAATAAAAATAAAAAGTTCAATAATAGTTTATATAAAAATATAAGAGTAACATTAATTAAAAGTAAGTGGAAACATATGGGACCCATAAAAAAAAGATTTATGGAGTTTATTGTTATTTGAGGTTTATGAGTGGATGAGTAAAAATGTTTTAGATGATGTGGTTTGTTGGGAAGTGTGAGTTTTGTTGATAAAGATGCTCTTATAATATAAATACACAAACCTCATTTCTCTATTCTCAATATGCCACATCATTCAAAACCTTATTCTCACTCCTACAAATATAAATCTCCAATAATAATAAATCTCATAAACCTCATTTTTATGGGTCCCACATGTTTGACTTTGTTTATGTAGTACAAAAGAAAAGGTTTTTTTTGCTTGAGGTTTGGATTGCAAGAATCAAGGCCTTACGCTTTCTTCTCTTATGAAATTTGGTCTAAGAAAGAAGTAATCCCGGCTTCAGAATCATTCTGTTGGGTATCTATGAGATCGAACCTTGAAGGATACCTTCGGTCTTTGCCTGGCCCCAATCAACAAGCAAGACTAGAGCTAGATATCGTTATCGCCCTATCGCTTTTTATTTTTATAATAAATATTATACTCTTATTTTTTATTAATATTTTAAAACTAAACTCCACTTTTATTTTTATTTAATCTAAATGTTTCACATATTTATAATTATAGATTAGTATTTATAATAAATTGATGCCACAAACGGCTTCTACACTTCTCGTGCTTTCTCAAAAGTACTTTTCGTTAATGCTTGACTCGCTTATCGAGGCCCGACAGAACACCCGAAGTCGCCTCATTAAATAATTAAAAAAATAACTCAATTGGAAGGAATATTTTTTTTTTTTAAAAAAGGAAAAAAACGTCATTAAATAAATTGTGGAGAACAAACAACCACAAAGTTGTTGTGAGACCAAACACCTTTTTCACCCTACGCGCGCCCGTATATCATATTTGATGAGGAATTGAACATTACATTCTTTTATGCATTTGTACATGTAATTTCTACATTATTTTGGAAACAGGTTTGGAATCCCAAATCGATGTTACAAATCCAAACCCCAAACTTTATATAAATAATAGAAAACCTATGAGGATCAAAGTTTTCATCCTCATGAAAACCTTTTATTATAGTTGCTTTAGCCCAAGAAATACCAGCATGTTGTTTTTTATTTAAGAGTCGGTGGATTGTAATAGTGGACCCGTATTACCCGAGAGTGGATAATAACGTCTCTTCTGGGAACATTCATTCATCAACAGGACAATCCATTTGTTCTTTTCAATTCGTTCTATCCAAAATTCCCACTTTCTGAAGGGGAATTTTGGGCATTTTGATCTATAGTGCGCACGTTATGGTGGAAGATTTCGATCGCTATATATATATATATATGATTTTATGAAACGCCAAGAAAAAAATTGAGAAAAAGGAGACAAAATTAGCGAGGAATGGAGCTGAAGGGGAATTTTTTGCCGCAGTTTAAAGTAGGCGAGGCCCAATCGGCGCAGCTTCCGTCGACGGCCAAACGCGATTCTGTATCTGTAGTTGGAATGTTTTGCAGGTATCTTAATGATGGCTATAATGTTATGATTGTGGAGTATTTATGTGAAAGCCCATATGCATATGCGTAGAATGTGTATGATTATTATGTGCATTGGCTTGTGGCGTTCCGCGTGCTCTCGTTTCTCATTGCAGTTTTCGAGTATTTGGGTGTGTTGTTATTCTTATTCAGATCGATACTAAATAATGGCGTAGGCCCTAGCTAGCCGTACTTTTCGTTAGAGTAAGGGAAAAACCGGTCACCGATTGAGTAGAAAGAAACAAAAGTTAAAACATAATGCAACTAGAGTTACTATCAAAATGCCCAAAGACAGCAGGTTGAATGGAGGTTGTCTCCTAGGATTTCGTGATTTTTTTTTTCGTGGCTTTGTACTAGATTCTGCTTGTTGATCTTGTTTATTTATAGGTGATATTCAATGGAGGTTGTCTCCGAGGATTTTCGTGATTTTTTCATGGCTTAGTACTAGATTATGCTTGTTGATCTTGTTTATTTCAAGGTGATATTCAATGGAGGTTGTCTCCGAGGATTTTCGTGATTTTTTCGTGGCTTAGTACTAGATTCTGCTTGTTGATCTTGTTTATCACTTTGTATTGTCAATTTAGAAATCATGTAAAGTGAAACACAAGCATATAAAATAATAGAATTATGAGGGGTTATGTGCTTCTTCTTTTTTCATTCATCGTATTATCCCCTTGAAGCTTCTAAGGTGTTCAATTATGCATTCATATTGCGCATATGCTGGACATTGTAAAACAAGCTTTATAACTTGTCTGCAGGCATACATTAATCTTCACAAGTATATAGGTTTTAAGGTGGTGATTGGATATAATATTGTTCCATTTTTAATCTGTTTGTCAAGATTCATCTCATGGAAGTCGTGAATATAAAAAAAAAAAGTTCAGAAAAATACTATTCATACATCTCATTGTTTTTCTCTACAATCCGACTAACACAATTAAAAAGTAGAAGTCAATCATTATTATACATTTTCAAACAAAAAAATATACTATTCTCTCACTCACATATTTCCCAATCATGATTCAATTAATATATTATTGTTTTTCATAGCACATCAACACTAATCATTACCCTGTTATCCTTTATCCGTTCTCAATCTATAAAATATTTCACTTCTCCGAATAATATATTTTTACACTTATCCATCTCTAGTTTTGACCAGACATTTATTCTATATTTTGTCCATTGCAAATGGAGCTGGAAGAGTCATTGTTGACAATTCTCCTGGCATAGTACTAATAATGGACTAGATGAAAATGACTCAATTTAAATTCTAGTGTTTCTTCTATTAGTGAAGTTTCTAGAAAAAAAAATATATCAAACGACGCAATGCACCTTGGGTCGCTACGGAAACAACCTTCTTGTATAATTACAAGGGTAAGGTCTGCGTACCCCCCAGACCCCAACCAGTTGGGAATATATTGAGTATGTTGTTGTTGGTGTTGTTGTTGAAAAAATTCTAAATCTAATGGTTGGGTGATCGGATCAACTTCTGCACACTGGAATTTCATTGTTTAAGATACGGAAATCATAGTACTTAATGATGCTGGACTAATGGAGAGAATCCTCTGTGGTCTATTGAGAAGGAATGCCCTGCATGTGTTTAAAACAACTGTATAAGCTTAATGAGTTAATGGTATCATTTTCTTGAGTGCAAGTAGATTAGCTTTATTATGGTTGTTGATACCCATCCTGGTGGAGATAAAGATGCTGCCTTTATGTATTTCGTTCTCTTTGGCTTCCATGGGTATTTCGTGCCTTTATTCCCAATTTTAGATTTTTCCTACTCGCTGTGATTTGAGATCAATTATGTCCTGCAAGCATTAATGAGATTTTACATCAATTATCTATTTCCGTATCATTTACATATAGATGTAATAATTTTCAGATGCCAGATAATGTTTTGCTCTCTTTGTGGTTACCTTATGCTTGGTCTGACTGTCTGGGTAGTTTGGGATATTAAATTTTTTTGTTCAAGGTGTCTGCATGACTAGCTAAATTGAGTTATATTATTGCTTACTGGATCTTTAATTTTCAAAATCTTTACTTGATACATTTTCTACATAGGGTGGCAAATTCGTCTAGGGAGTCATTTCCTTCTCAGTATTATAGATGGAAGAATCTTGAAGTTCATGGCAACAGTGACCAAAGTATCAGACACTTGGCTCTTTCTAAGAGTAGGGGCTCAAAGCTGCCTGAGCTCTCTTTTGACCGGCAACAGCTTACCGATCAAGAATGCAGTGGACTGCGAAAACGAAACTTTGGCCGTTTTGTTGCTCGTGAGGCGATACTTGATGAAGAATACTGGGTTGGTTTGCTCTCTCATTATCCTCTTTTGAATGTATGAAGGAAACCTCATCATGCTATGTACTATCTTGGTTTGCATATTTTTTAAAAGAACTCCAGATTTCTTCTCTGCGTGTCTGACTTGGCAATGGCAGACAGCAGCATGGCTCCGAGCAGAAGCGCATTGGGAATCCTTATCCTATATGAGGTCAATAATTTGTGTTATAATATCCTTTACTAATCTTGATTGTACCTCAATCGAGACTTGATAAACATGGTGTCTTGTTATAGGATTGTGTCGGGCATCCTATATCTGATCATTTGAGTTATTGTTAACTTACATAATAATGCTTGCTTTTTCAGGCATGCTGATAGTTACAAAAGAAAGTATGCTGAGGAGGTGAGTTTCAATAGAGATGACTCAGTAGATGTGCTCAGTTCTCTTCTGGCTTCTTGCAACTTTATGATCTAAGTATAGGTGGGGGCACTATTGTTCTCTGAACTCGATCTTTCTCATATTGTCAGGAATTCTATGCTTTGAAGCGAAGATGTTTTGGACAGCAGGGGAAGTCATTGAACTGTTTTTGTTTTGTTGCAGTAAGCAAACAGACTTTTATATAGATGGTCTAGATTCACATCTCATACGGGATCTTTTTGTGAATTCATTCGACTTCCAGAAAAGTTAACCTGTTAAAATTGTCTCTTTGTGATCTAGACAAGTATTGAGAAATACGCACCTCCCTCTCTCTCTCTCTCTCACACACACACACACACACACACACACACACACACTCAAACACATAATTTTGACTCTCCCTTACACGCACATATGATTTCGACTTCCATAGGGGAAATAACTGCCAATATTAATGCTGAGAGATAAATTTGTCGGTCACATTAATATGAAACTAAATCCCCTAGGTCATCTTCATAATTTTAAATCCAGCAATATGTTATAAACTGCAGTTTCTATCTGGAGGCTCACAAATCCTGAGTGACATTGTTTCCTCTATCGGGCTGCAGGTTAAGAAGGAAGATAAAAATGTTAGACGAACAGTTCTGAACAGTATAGTGGGGACTTTGGACTTGAGTATCAGGCAGTTCCTTCAAGGAGAAAAATATCCTGGGGTACAAATCCATATCTGTTACTCCTCACTCCTGTGTATCTCAAAGATGAAATACATTTCTTCTTCTGTGTGATACTGTGATTAGCTCCCTCAATTGGATATTGTGGTTATGCCCCATTCACCTATTTTACCTGAGAGACTTTTCCATTAATCCTTGTTTAAAAATCATACTTATTTCACTTTATTGGTTATTCTAACCGACTCCTTTTGTTCATTATAATTTTCCTATTTCACTTTGTTAGTTATTCTGACCAAACTCCTTTTGTTCATTATAGTTTTCCTATTTCACTTTGTTGGTTATTCTGACCATCTCCTTTTTGTTCAGTGTAATTTTCCTATATCACTTTATTGGTTATTGTGACACACTCCTTTTGTACGCTACAGTTTTATGTGGAGCATCTCTTGAGCAACATAATATGATTTATTTTCATTATTTCCTGGAGAACTGAGAATGCTCAATCTATCAGTTAATTTTTATTTTGTAGGAAATAAAGAGACTGCCGGCTGTTTTTTCCTGTCAAGAGCCCTTTGGTATGCATAAATATGCTTATATTGCAAATGTTTGTGTGGCAAAGTTTGCTCGGCGCCAGGGTATTGCTTCAAACATGATATACTTGGCTACTGATGTTGCCATAATTGCAGGTTTATATTGTAATAAAAATATCAGCATTTGT